AGCGGGTAGTAGCTTGTATAAAGTAACAAAATAAAAACATGCTCAGATAAGGCAATAGCCCTCTAAGCCCATAAAAGATGAAATGGCCTGATTGCAATCTTTGTTTCCACCTTATCCCACTAGGTGGGGCCAGCATAGCGAATTTTTCTATTCCATTCTCTTCTATCAGCCGTCATCTCAATACTCACTCCTCTCTCTCTCTCATATCGTCATTAACACACTCCATCCATGTCTTGTTCGGTCGACCTCTTTCCCCACTATCTTGCACTACCATCTCTATACATCTCCTAGTCACGTGCATCTCCTCTCTACGCATCGCATCAAAAGGCCTGATTGCAATGTAATCATATGGCTTAGTCTCACCTTTTTTTTCGTTTTATTGCTTAGATGGGTGGACGACCTCACAGCCAACCTGGTATTAAGTGGCTACCGGAGCCCATAGACACCTACAACGAAAACGCCGCCACCCACCTTGAGACATGAATTGTAAAGTCTCACTTTTTACAATACAACGGCTGCCCCACTCTTCAAACTGAAACTCATTACTGCTTCACGGCAGAAATAGGCACGGTGGTGGTACCTACCCGTGCGGACTCACAAGAGGTCCTACCACCACCTAATTACGCAAATTATAATTTTGCGAGTATGATTTTTATTACACGATGTTATTCCTTTATCGTGGAAGTCAATCGTGAACATTTGTTAAGTATGTATTTCATTAGAAAAATTGGTACTCGCCTGTGGGATTCGACCACCGTTGCATCGCTAGATACGAATGCACCGGACATCTTATCCTTTAGGCCACGACGACCTCATTTTTTTTTAATTTATTTATATTATCATTACATTATTTCCGACGTTTCGAATACATCACATCACTTTGACTGTCTCGGTGGTGGAGTAATTAGCGCCCCTGACTCTTGCGCCGAGGGCTGTGGTTTCAATTTCCACAGGGGGCAAACATTGGTGAGATGAATAGGTTTGTTTGTTCCTCGTCTGGGTATTTTTTTTATTGCTTAAATGTTTGGATGAGCTCACAGCCCACCTGGTGTTAAGTGGTTATTGGAGCCCATAGAGATCTACAACGTAAATGCGCCACCCACCTTGAGATATAAATTCTAAGGTCTCGGTATAGTTACAACGGCTGTCCCACCCTTCAAACCGAAACGCATTACTGCTTCACGGCAGAAATAGGCAGGGTGGTGGTACCTGCTCGTGCGGACTCACAAGAGGTCCTACCACCAGTAATTACGCAAATTATACTTTTGCGGGTTTGATTTTTATTACACGATGTTATTTCTTCACCGTGGAAATCAATCGTGAACATTTGTTGAGTACTTGTAGTAAGTATTTATTCATTAGAAAAATTGGTACCCGCCTGAGATTCGAACACAGATGCATCGCTCAACACGAATGCACCGGACGTCTTATCATTTAGACCACGACGACTTTTTTATATTTATACCTCATTAAATATCTTATTTAAGATGCAAGCGTGTGTGCACCGAGATAAAGTATACTATGCTTATGGCATCTTAGTCCACGAGTTCAGTTTGGGTATAATTTCGAAATTTATCAGCTAATTCTCAACGAGGTGTTTTAGATGTAAGTACTACACCTTACTAGCACATAGACACAGCCCATTTAATTCTCAGTGGATCGCGATTCTATCTAGTGGTAGATTCTGCGAAGCACTGCTCTTGCTAGAGCTAGTGTCAGAAAATTCTCTCAGGTTGAATCCATGACATCATCTACCCGTCTGCGCGTAACTGGAATAATCCCTTAGCCTACAAGCGAGCAGGAAGGGAATGAAAACATATTTTTAAGCTTCCTTCCAACTGCGTTTTAATAAACTATATTTCATTGCCATGGGACTGTTCCATTTTTTTATCATGGATAGGCGAGCACTTACTCGGCTCACTTGGACAACAAAACGTATTTTCGTAGTGATATTACTTAGATGAACGTAATAAAATCACAAACTAACAACTGTAAAACTGAAATGGAATTAAATAGAATATTGAAAAATACACTGTTCTCTAAAAGAGATCATGTAAAGAAAGATTTAGGTCATAATTAAAAAAAATAAAGAACATTTTATTTTCCCAACCAAATTTGTACCAAATTTTCATGCGCAGATTTTTCCATCAATATACCTATACTATATTTATTTAAAATATTTTTTATATAATTATAGAATATTTAAATAAAAAGATAGTTATCAAAAATACAATTTTTAAAAAACACTAAATAAAAATAGATTGCCGCTCATGGCAGTGTCTACAACACAAGCCACCAATGCTTAGGATTCCAGAGTGAGAAACCTCCTCATAACACGTGCGGTATCGAACATAAGCGAGCCTTCTGTATCAGGCCCCTAAACCGGCTGGATAACGAAAGTTTCTTAAAGTGTTGATCGAAACTTTTCGCTATCAAACCGTGTACCGACACAACTATAAGAACAATGATGGTTGAATAAACATGCCACATGGCAGTTGTCTCGTGGGCCAGATCTAACTATTTTATAAATTTGTACTTTTCTGCCTTCACGAGACTCTCGTCATGAGGAATGGTGATATCGACTAACATTGCTTGACGCGCAGACTAATCTATTATCACAATATCAGGCTTATTGGTCACAATATACCTATCCGTGATAATAGATCGGTCCCAGTAGAGCATAACACGACCATTTTCAAGAGCCGGTTGAGGTTGGTATTGGTAATAAGTTACAGCAGAATCAAGAAAAGCATATTTCAGAGCAAATTGTTGATGGATAATCCTAGCCACTTGGTTATGTCTATGCAAGTACTCGCCATTAACAAAACGAGTATAGCCAGAAACAATATGTCTAATAGACTCTCCTGGACGATGGCATGCCTGACAAATATCGACCGTCCCATCCTATAGTACATATATATTTCAGGTAGTTGTTCATCATGATAACTTCATCCATAATTGTAAAAATAAAACCTTCAGTTTCCCCAAAGAGGTTACTGAATAGTACTGAGAGGCCACGGAAACTAATTGGTCTACATCAGGCCCTGTAAGAACCCGGTAGAACCTACCGTGTAACTCCTCGAAAAATACTTATTATTATTATTATATACCTTAACATTTCAAGTCATAATCGTCCTCTAGTATGCGGTTTTCAGTTATGTATGATACGATTGGTGAACAGGTGCAAACTGTGACAGTGCTTTAAGCGGTTACCGAGCCCTATTACTCATCATAATCTGAGGCATTACAGCCGCGGGTGGGGTCCTGAGCTTGGTCCAGTAAATCTCTCCAGTTCTATTAATTCGTGTTTTTCCTTTCGTAACTTATCACCGTTAAATTCTTGGTGTCCTGTTCGATGTCGTCCAAACATCTGATCATAGGCCTGCCTGTACTTCTGCGGTCTTCTGGCCGGCCTTCCAAAGAGTATGGGTACTCTAGCTTCGTCTACTCCCACCACGTGCTCTGGTCATGGAGTCCCATAATCGCTACGTAAAATGCCAACACTCATCTTCAGACATGTTTCGATCATATTGCGTTGAAGTAATACTAGTAGTTTTGTCCTGGTGAAACTGGAAAGGTCTCCGGGCCACAAGTAATCTTTCAATCCTAAAAAAAAACTAGTAGTTTTTATTGACTTACTTACGTACTTATTAATTCTCGATTGGCCACGGTACGTCCTTTTGCTGTCCTGTTATCATTGCTGATTTACAATATGCTTGTGTCAGTTTGAAGAATAAGACTATTTTACTTTTTTTTTCCTCCCTATGCTGTTGGCCTTGAGAGGCTATTTCAGCTTCTCCTTGACGTGTAGGTGAGCTCACGGAGCTAAAACCGGGAGTGTTGCTAATACTGGCCCTAGCAAGAACAGTGCTTCGCAGAATCTACTACCGGATCGGAAACGCGACCCACTGAGAAGATCCGGCGAGAAACTCAGTGGGCTGTTTTACTATTTTACTAATGTCTTTACCTGAATTTACTAATAAAGCTTAGCAAGCTTAGCTTAGCTCGGGCTTCGTATAATAAATAATATCGTCGAATAAATAATAAATTTATTATTGTAACGCGATTAACATTTAAATTAAAAACACGATTTTTTATTAGGTTTATCATACGAGTATACTAGCAGACAAGCAACAGTTTTAATTCAAATATTTTTTATGATATGAAAAAAACAATCATAGGTGTATTAGCAGTAAGTCAAAGGTGGTATCGAGGAAACTGAAAACCATTGAGGCCACAGCCTGTCTTGAAGCTGCTATATTTACACGGGAGGCACAGATAATACCGCTGTTCCACAAGTAGGATGTTCCAAATATGAGCTGATTGAATCTCAAACTTCAAAATATGATGAGTCACAATGACACGAACAGTTAGTTATCTAGCGAATGTATTTTTCTTCAATATTTGTTATATATTTGAATGCTTTAACGAAGTGTCAAGGTTTTTCGAAAATAATGTCATCAAAACAAACATTTATGATCGTCGCAGCTTTTGTCAAAACATGAGGGGTGCAAACCAATTACCAGTGAATAGTGTCGCCAACTTTCAGTAAAACGCCATCATAAAGTGCGATAACTCGCCGCGAGAACGCTTTATTTTCCCATAAAAGCGTTTTATCCACGTATAAAAGCTTAAATCCGCACAAGCTTTCTCCCGGCGGCGAGTCGGCAAAAAGAGCATTAGCGCAGGCCACAGAAACATGGCCCCGACACGCCTCGCGCCGCCGTTGGTCAGGACCGCCCCTGCCGCCGCCGGCGCCGCCTCCCGCCCGTCGGACCGGCTCCGGCACAGTCGTGGTCGACACTCCGCCGTGTGTGCTGTGTGCCCATACAACACGATAACACGCGTTCTGCGATCTCGTATCACTAAAAATCATTCCCTCAAATATCGAGTGAGTGAACTTTCAAATATAAAAGAACTTATCCGAGTGTGTTAAAGTGTCGAAATATAAAAAAAAAAATTAACTGTTTAATTTTAAATAATGTAATTCTTCATTGGAAAATTTGTAGAACAAATCTACAAGTCTATTTTATCGGGTGCGGACGGATATTGTGAAAAAGCTATTCGTGGGGCGATGTGCAATTGGAATAGACTACTGAGCAATCACGTGAAACATTCGAAAGAGTCGTGTTGATAGAGAGGATTATAGAGGTGTGATGTGCCGAGTGCGGTGACCGTCGGTGCGAAGAGCAGGCGCGCTGGGGGCGAGCGAGGTGCCTCGGGTGGGTCGGGGGTGGTGCGCCCCGGCGCTGGATGCGGTAGAGGCGGCGGCGAGCGGCGGCGGCGCGGGCTCCGCCGGCGGCGCCGTGGCGATGACGGTGCAGCGTGACGAGCGCGCCCCTCGCACGCGCTTTATGATCACTGACATTCTTGACGCGCCGCCACGGGATCTTAGCGCACATCGGGACTCCGACAGTGACAGATCAGCCACTGATTCACCAGGTAAAACTGCAATTTAACACTAAAAAATTATCCTAGAGGTTTTTTTAACATAACAAACCAAGAAAAAAAAAACAATGGCTTATTAGTTTCTTCAAAATTAAAAAAAAGAATGCCTCAAGGAAAAGACATCAACGCCGCGATAATTAAGTGCGCTTCACACGTATACACACAAAGTGTACCCCGTCTCGACATTATTGACGTTTCTGTGGTAATTTCATTCTGTTGCTCATTACGAAAGTAAAGCACTACAATATGATAATTTGCTCTAGTTCAATTGCTGGGAATTGTGATAATAAACGAGGTGTAAAGTCACGCAACTATAATGGACTCGCCTGGTTAGAAGCAGTTCATTTCAAAGTCATTATCTTCAATATTTGAAGATAACGGATAGATAGTTAAATTACCGTTTCATGTTTTTTATTTGGTTTTGCTTTTCAATACATGTTACTTGTGATTGTGATGTTATAACTTTAGTAAACAGTGTATTATAGATTTTGATTTTTTTAAAACGGGGATTAATTCTCGTTAACATATTTTATTCAAAAACTGAATCAAAAAGAAAAAAATGAGGTGAATTTAATAATGAAAATTGACATTAAGAAAACAAATAACATGAATTTTATTTGTACAAGTTATATGGATTATAAGGGTCAGTTCACCCAGGTGTGAGGTCGGGAGGCTGCAACGCGATCCGACCGAGATCCGAGTTTTGTCACAGCCGTACCCAGTGCGGCCGACCGGCACAAATCCTCAACGATTCGAACCTTAAAACCTTTGTTGTGATTCACTTTTCAACATATCGCTGACAAAAAAAAAGTAATTTTGAAAATTTGGAATTATACTTTTTTTTTAATATTTATTACGCACTCCATAAGTCTTGAACGATTTTTAAAAATATACAATTCGAAATTATACTTTAGAATTCGAATTTTTGTTTTATATTAAATAAATTGGTTGAACATCGCGTTGCCTATATACCTACTACATACTATAATAACGCAGATAAATTTTAGTTTTTAATGCTAATTAATCTTGAAGTTAATTTTGGTCTTGATACTTCTAAATACCCGCTTAATCCAGTTTGTCCAGTCATATCGTATTTGAGATAAAGTAAACGTTTTTAACATGATTTTAACATCGTTTTGATAATAATCTGCCGGTCTCAAACTGCCGGGATCCGAAGTCATTAGTAAATTTAAATGTATAGTTTAAATATTTAGCTCTCTAGACTTCTTTCTTGTTGTTTGACATAGACATGTTGTTTGCGTGCGTAACACGGATACCTATAGATCCTATACCACGCCGTTCAAATAATTAATATTAATTAGCTAAAAATAATATATTACGTATTTCTTGTTTCTAAATCTAAATTTAATGACAACACGCGATAATATTTCCTTTTAAAATTTTAAATCAAATTTGGTTTTCGTTCGAATATATTAAAATAATTTGCTTTTTTTTCTAATTATATACGCCATTTTTATCTTGTTCGTTTTAAGAAACAAGTTTTTTATTTTATATTTATAATCATCTCGCATAAACGATCGAAAATAGAAACATGGAACATACATGAATTTATTTTATTATCCGTACATATTAAAAGCGGCCACGGTAATACCTAACTCATAGTATTACGAGTTTTGAATAATGATGATATGGAAAAAAATGTGTGGGCTATCGTATTAAGGCTGCTTTAACATTAAGCACAAAAGAAAGAGCGTGTAATCACGTCCTTTTTATTATAATTCCTCATTAATGTTTCATTCGGTCGAGTGCAAAACTAATTAATGTATAAGAAAAACGCTCGTTATCAAGATTATATTTACAACAAGCGCAATTAGCATACACAAAGATCTTTTAACATAATATTTTTGAGGATTATACAGTTTCTGCTCGTAAAATGCCCACGGAAACAAACACAAATTTCATATAATTGTTCGAATATGTAGACGATAAAAAACAAATTAGATTCTGACCGAAGCCATTAATAGTACGGCCTCTTTAAATACCAATAACAATAAATTGTTTATTTCAAACAACCAAGACTAAATAATGTTCGAGTTCGGATCGCGTTATCCCATCGACGATTTAATAGACAAGCCGATAAACCCGAGGCGTTAAATAAATTAAATAATAAAACGTATAATGGGTCGCGATAAATACAACCCGTTCGTAACACTCCTCTCCGAGATAAGTAAGCCCTTATAAAACGGACCAAATTAATCCTGGCTGAAAGGACTCTCCACGCTGCACGAGGGAAAAAGAAAAAAACTGACGTCATAATCAGCTTTTGTCAAATGTCAACCTACGTTCGCTTTTTAAATTTTTAAATAGCTCACCGAAATCCAAACGACTTTCTGACACAGTACAATCAGAAACATATTTCTAATAAATTAAAAAATAGTTTTCGTTTGACTAAAGTGAAAGAAAGCTCCTAAAACACCAGGAACAATAATGGGTTTTTATCATAACTATTACCTTATTTCATGAATATACATATCTACCATTTACTGTGTTTAACATTCACTGACGGTAATTAAATGTTTCATGCAACTGTAAATGCCCCTGACAGCGTAAGTAATTTGAAAAACCCACTTACCGAGAATGTGAAAAATTACAACGTTTATAGCAATTAATGCTCACATAAGACAATATAATTCAGCAATTAATTTATGAGTAATGATGCAGTAGTATTCGACAGTTTCCAACGAAACAACTCAACTGAATGTGATTCGTTGATAAATAAATGAGAATATTTGTTTAAAAAATTTCAAGATAACATGGTAAATAAGGAAAGCTGACCCCGTCACCCTATGGGGTGAATAGCTAGTAAGAGAGAGAGAGAAAGAGAGAGTTTGTTTTACAATTTTCACAGTTTCTATTTCGCGTTTTCCTTGACATCAGCTAATGAGGACTTCTATAAGTTGAGTAAACGAAACGATTAGAGGCTAATAAAATTTATTTATTGTTAGTTATCACGGATTATGCTTTATTGTTTCAAACGGACTCTTGAATTCATTATAAAATATAATTCGTTAACAAATAGCACGATTTTAAATAAAAAACACATTACAACTTTCCCGCTCAGATTGAAGTCCAACGGCGTAATTAACATAATGTTAATGTCTTCGTGAATTGCGTTTTGCTGTCGCCTGTACTTAGCGTTCTGTGCCACTGGTTCGACTCGTTGCTCGAATAGTCAAATGTTATATACCTCAAACGTTCCATTGCTCGCTAAGCTGCTTACCGTGCTTTTACGATAGAGCACACGCCAACCAGAAACAAACTTACAGTTTTAAAACATAAAGTCTAAATTTGTTTTTTTGATCTCTCCCTGACTTTTTGGCATCGCGATAAGAAGAGATGAAGGTGACGATTCTTTCATAGTACCAACTTGATAAACATCAACAGTTTTATTGTGACAATAAATAGATTATGAATTCGGATAAAGGCCAGTTTTTGATACTTCCATAATAGGGCTCCCATTCGCGGCTCAATGTCACTTCTGACAGCAAATCCAAGCTGTGAAATCGGGACTCGTTTCAAAATGTTCTCAAGATAAATTTGACCGGCTTATTCTATGTAGAGGAATTCGAATATTTCTGTTTAATTATGCCAAAGTTTATAAACCAAAACAGTAATAATGTGCTAATTAATTCTATATTATTATATTAATGTATAGGTATACTGATTTTAAAGTACGGTAGGTTTTTTTTTTATTGAAAAACAAAATTCATTTAAGTAGACAATTGGATACAGGTCGTGATAATACTCTTTTTTAAATTGTGCTGTTGAATTGTCAAATCATCAACCAGAAACTTCGCCTTAAACTGGTACTAAGCGTTTCACGAAACCAGTTTATTCACAAACATCCGACTTGTGTGTGTACGAAACCGTGTAATAGGTTTTCTACGTCCACTTGATCGAGATCTCGTAGAAAAATATCGGAAAATGCATAATTTTTCATTCGATTACACAAGAAACGAAATCGATTTTTTTAACGCAAACTATCGAATGGCGTTAATATTTTGACTGAATAAAACGCTAACTAACAATCACTTTACATTTAAAACTTACCGAATTAATTGATATAAATTTTGTTTATTTGAAAAAAAAATGGCTTAAGAGATACGATTATTCTAGCATAACTGTATTGTCTAACCTACTTAATCTACTCACATAGGCCTAATTATTTACGTTGCTTTCTCATAATAGAGTAGATTAGTAGAGTAGAGTATTATTAGAGTAGGTTCAAGTCTCAATCGTATTGTTTAACGGTTGTCCCACCCTTCAGATCAGAACTAATGACTGGTACACGAGGTGCGAGCTTACAATGCGCCCCTAACACTAGTGGCTACGAGAATTGACTATATTGGGAGATCGATTTTCATTGCCACCACGACTAAGACAGTTAGCGCGTTCACCCAAACAACTTAAAATCGTAACGCATTACTGCTTCACGGCAGAAATAGGAGCGGTGGTTGTACGTGCTGACTCACAAGACATCCTAACATCAGTAAAAATAAAATAATAGTTAATTGGGAAAATGAACATTTAAAAAATACGTTTGTAAGGCCGAAGATTTGTCTTATGTAATTTCAATAAATAAAAACACACTGAAAGACGCCGATCTTGATAATTCTCTTGAGTTATTTGTACAGGAAATACGTGACAAGAACAAATACACTCAGACCCCGAATAACAAATATTTTTAACATAGATACTGTCATCTACTGGTGCTGAACCCGTGATGCATACTGACCACTGATTATTAGGTCAATGAGGAGACCAATGGTCAATGAGAACATCAGATCACAAGAAAAAGACAAAGTACCAAATACCTTTCTAAAATAGTGTTTAAAACGAGCAAAACACGACACGATACAGAATCTCGTAATGAAATCGCAAACCATTAAAGCAGTTGGTAGCGTGGCGGTTGCCATCATTGCGGCGTGTTATGCCACAGTAGTGACATAACTCAACGCGCCAGCAAAGTGCAT